CAGCCAAGGTTCCCTACTCGCTTCCCTGTGAGATCTCGTTTTTTTGTTTTTGTTTTTTTAAAGATTTTATTTATTTATTTGACAGACAGAGATCACAAGTAGGCAGAGAGGCAGGCAGAGAGAGAGAGAGAGAGGAGGAAGCAGGCTCCCTGCCTAGCAGAGAGCCCGATGCGGGACTCGATCCCAGGACCCTGAGATCATGACCTGAGCCGAAGGCAGCGGCTTAACCTACTGAGCCACCCAGGCACCCGAGATCTCGTTTTGATAAAGGTCACGGAGTCTGAAAGTTAGTAAAAGTAACCTCATTTCCCTCTCCATTTATGTACTGCTTTTGAACTGGTCACAGCTCAGAACCTAGTTTTGTTTTTCTGCCTTTCTCTCATGCCCCCTGATATAGACCCTGCTGGCCCACCAACGGTTCATGGTGCAGGGAATCTTGCCCCCGCCCCATAGGAATGACTCTACCAGACCTTAGAGAAGATCATGCCATCGACTGGCCTTGCACGTCACTCTGTCTCTATGAGTCGAGCCTGACCAACAAGAGCACAAACTTCAACCTTACCTGTAATCAGAGAAATGCAGTGACATGCCATTTTTCAACCATCCAATAGGCACGGAGAGAGAGAGAGATTACTAATATTTTGTGCCGGCCAGAGCGTGAGAAAATGAGCGCTCATACATTGCTGCTATAAATATGAATTAGTTACATCTTGGGAATGCAGCCTACTATCTATTAAAAAAATGCAGAGATTACATTCAGTTACGTTATTCTTGTCCATTCATCCTGTGGAAATCAAGGTTCCAGTTTGTAAAGTCGTGTGTTCAAGAAAGTTTACCACAGTATTATTTGTAATGGCAAAAGCCTAAAAACAATTTGAATTTCTGTCAGGAAGTGTTGAATAAATTGTGGTTTGTCTGTAGTACAGAACATACCGTGCAGTTACTTTTTTAAAAACCGAGTTAGGGGGGCACCTGGGTGGCTCAGTGGGTTAAAGCCTCTGCCTTTGGCTCAGGTCATGATCCCAGGGTCTTGGAATGGAGCCCCAGATCCGGCTCTCTGCTCAGCAGGGAGCCTGCTTCCTCCTCTCTCTCTGCCTGCCTCTCTGCCTACTTGTGTCCTCCTCTCTGCCTACTTGTGACCTTTCTGTGAAATAAATAAATAAAACCTTTAAAAAAAAATAAAAAAGGTTAAAAAATTTAAAAAAATTAACCGAGTTAGGGTTACATGTGTGGACTGAGAAACTCTGAATGTTATCAACTGAGTATAGTAGGAAAGGTTACAGATTAACATTAATGAAAGGGGGAAAATAAAGAAATGTTTATATGTGTGTCTGTGTAATTACGTGAAGTTGGAGAGAGAAGTGGCAAGATACCATCCTAGCTAATAAAGTCTGTACTCGAGTTGGGATGGGGATGGAGACATCAACCCATCTCTTCCATTGGACTTGTTACAACAAGCCTGCACTGCTTTTGTGATTTTTTTAATAAAGTGAACATGGGTTTGAGAGTTAGGTGGGTTATAATCTAGTTTCTGTCGCTTACTAGTTGTGAGAGGTTTGATTAATTGACCTAACCTTAGTCCTCACCTGTAAAAGGGGAATAACAGTTACCTCCCTGTGTTTAACTCAAGGAAATATACAAAGCATGTCTTACATTGTAATCTTGTTTCTTTTTCCTTCTATGCAATTCACAGAATATTTGAACATACACAAAACTTGTTGTCAATGATATCAGTGTATGTTCTCAACTTGACATTGGCCTACGAAAGATGTTGATTAGTGTCACTCTGGGAAAGAATATCCAGGTGATAACCTCTATTTCCCTCCTTAATCCTTATAGATCAAATAAGAATGATTCATGATGGTGCCTTGGCCCTCTGGGGGTTATTTACCCAGGACCTCAGTCAGTAACGCAGATGAGAAGGAGGAAGGGCTAACAAGGGACTCTGAGTATCCAAAACAGATGTTCTAAAGTGCAAGCTCTTACTAGATCCTTTCTTCTTATTTTAGACACCCAAATAAGCTTTTCCAGCCCTGGCGCATTAGTGAGGATGCTAGGACGGGCAGCACCTGACAGCGGCCAGGAGGGACAGCTGGTCTGAGCCCAGAGGTGGCTGGAAGACACAAGTGGCTGGAAGACCTGGAGCCAGGCCCTGTTTTCACAGTGACTAACTCACCTTCATAATGGCCATGCTGAATTATTAGGGAGAAATTAACTCATTCTTTACATAATATTTTAAAAGTTATTTACTGGGGCGCCTGGGTGGCTCAGTGGGTTAAGCCTCTGCCTTTGGCTCAGGTCATGATCTCAGGGTCCTGGGATTGAGCCCCGCATTGGGCTCTCTGCTCAGCAAGGAGCCTGCTTACCCCCTGTCTCTTCCTGCCTCTCTGCCTACTTGTGATCCCTCTGTCAAATAAATAAATAAAATCTTAAAAAAAAAAGTTATTTACTTAAGTAATCTCTACACCCAACAAGGGACTTGAACACATGACCCCAAGTCAAGAGTTGCCTGCTCTTCCAAGTGAACCAGCCTGCTGTCCCTCATGCTTTATTTAATCCTATAAATGTCCCTAATTAGAGTGTAACGCAGTCTAGGAGTATTACTACCAGAGAGGATTAAACTTTTTCAGTGTTGTTGCTTAAAAACTAAGTATTGGTTTCATATTAGTGCCAGAATGTAACAGAGGACTTTATCCAATGAGGGGAAGATAGAAATCTGCATAGCCCAGAGTAACAGGTATTAGAAATTGTTCCAAAAAGATATTAACCTGGAACAATGGAACGATCTCCTACAAGTGTGTTATTTGCTTTTTTGCTAAAATAATGTCTACAAACTATACTCCAAAATCTTTGGGGGCCTGGGGAATTTTGGAACTCAGAATTTTTCAGATACCCTTAAAGGTAGTGTGTATAGGGGCACCTGGGTGGCTCAGTCATTAAGCATCTGCCTTCAGCTTATGATCACAATCCCAGCGTCCTGGGATCGAGCCCCACGTCAGGCTCCCTGCTCCTCAGGAAGCCTGCTTCTCCCTCTCCCCCTCCCCCTGCTTGTGTTTCCTCTCTTGCTATGTCTCTCTCTGTCAAATAAATAAATAAATAAGATGTTTAAAAAAAAAAAAAAAAGGTAGTGTATATAATGTTGTATGGTTCAGGACAGATCCAGCAAGGTCCAAGGCAGCAAATCAGAATCAAACATACTAAAACTCCTACAGTGAAATACTCATTAGGACAAACAGTGTGTAGTTTATTTAAATAATAATAAAACACTAAATGAAATAATAGGATAAAAATAGATTATAAATACTCTAATACTCTTATTTCTAGGAAGACATTTTATGAATCTTTAAATACACACAGGTTCAAATTTAGCTAAATATGCCTGTGCATATGTAAACCGAGTGTCCCCGTGACCAGAGGAGCTGGATTGAGGGAAGCGTTCTAATAGGGTCCTCTTTAAGACCTTCTCCTCATAGGGGAACCTGGGTGGCTCAGTGGGTTAAAGCCTCTGCCTTTGGCTCAGGTCATGATCCCAGGCTCCTGGCTCCTGGGATCGATCCCCGTGTAGGGCTCTCCGCTCAGCGGGGAGCCTGCTTTCTCTCTCTCTCTCTCTCTCTCTCTCTGCCTGTCTCTCAACCTACCTGTGATCTCTGTCTGTCAAATAAATGAATAAAATCTTAAAAAAAATAAATGAATAAAATCTTAAAAAAAAAAAAAGACCTTCTCCTCAGGCCCGATAGCTCATTAATTTAAGTTTCCTTCTAAGCAGTTCCTCTTTAGTTACCAAAACCCTCATAAACTCACATACATTGATAAATGTGTGTGGTTCAAGGCCAGCTGTTGACTCTTCACACATTTTCACCATGTCATCTAAGTTTTTTCCACCTGTTTACAATTCCATCTTCATCAGCGCTATTACCCTCATGATCATCTATATTTAAAACCACTTCAAACACCCATTGAGTTAGCTGCTGTAAAAAAGAACAAGTGCTGGGGAGGAGGGAGAGAAATGGGAGCCCTTGCGCACTATTGGTGGGAATGTTAAAATGGTACCGTCACTGTGGAGAACAGTAAGCCATTTCCTCAAGAAAATAGAATTATCTTATAATCAGCAATTCTGTACAGCCAGACTTCTGAGTACTCAGAAGAATTCGAAGCAGGGTCTCAGATGTAATGTGCACCCATTTTCATAGCAGCATTATCCACAGTAGCTAAAATATGGAAGCAACCCAAGTGTCCAGTGACTGATGAATGGATAAGCAAAATGTAGTAAAACACACAATGGAATTTTTTTTTAAACATTTTGTTTTTAAGTAATCTTCACACCCAATGTGGGGCTTGAACTCCCAACCCAGGGATCAAGAGTCACACACTCTACCCCTACAGATGGACCCAGGCTGGTGCCCCCATACAATGGAATATTATTTAGCCTTAAAAAAGAAGGAAGTCCTGCATTTTGGCACAATATGGATGAACCTTGGAGGTCACTATGCAGCGTAAAAGAGGCCAGTTACAATAAAGACAAATATTGTCTGACTCCACTCCTATAAGGTACTTCAAGTAGTCAAAATCATCAAGAGAGAAGTTGTAATGGTGGTTGCCAGGGACTGGGGAGGCGGGGGAGAGAATAGGGAGTTGTTTATAGGTATAGAGTTCCCATTTTACAAGATGCAGAGTAATGGGAATGCTTAGGTTGCTATGCAATGTGAGTGTATTTAATGCTACTGAACTGTGCACTTTAACAAATGG